GGTGTACAAAAGGACAATAGGGGGATGGCTCTCCATTGCCATACACAAAGAACAGGAAACTTAAGTCAAGGAGGTACTAATTCAAGGTAAGCTTAACAGGAGAAATGAAACTTAAATCAGGAAACGAAACCTAAGGCAGGCAGGTAAGCTTTTCAGGAGAAACGAAACTTAAGTCAGGAACCAAATGGATGCAACAAAATACCTCTGTGCAAAGATAGTTGTTTTATCTGATACAACTTAGTGATACAAATTTGATTGATAGCCGTTTCTTAATATCTACTTATATTTTCTCACAACTGAAACTCTGCGAAGTTCCAGATCGAAAATAAAAAAGGAGAAAAGTTACAAGCATCAGCGGTTTGTTTGACAAGTTCTTTTCCTTTGCTGTTAACACCTGAAACAAGCACTTAATGTAAATTTGAAGTTCACAAGAAAAAGGTCACGCCTCTGCATCCATCCCCACCTACAGTTAGATCATATTTTAATTTCGCTCCTTGGTGCACAAATATTCGGCGGCTTATGTCATCGCCTCCGGTCGTTCGGCCCAATAGGAAGAAAGGAAGGAGGAGGAGGCGGATACAGCTTGCGCGTTGCTATGGTCGCAAAATTGGGTAGTAACGAAGGTGGAGGCGGAGTGCGCATGAGTGGTCTGCGCAGTACCGGGAGTTTATCTGGGCCTGGTGGAGACGAATCTTACTGAAGGCTGCCATGCAGAGCTCCGTGGTCCGGCGTACGCAGGAGTTGCTAGGGCGCGTGATTCGAAAACCGCCTCTTACAGAGCGCCTTCTCAGCAAGCCTCCTTTCCGCTACCTGCACGACGTAATCGGGGAGGTCAGGCGAAGCGAAAGTGGCGGGAAAGAGGGGGAGGAGAGGAAGCGATCGGTCGTGTTTCCAGTTGCCTGGCAACTCGAGGAGGAAGCCGCAAAAGAGACGCGTGTATCTTTGAAGGGTTGTGTAAAGAGATTCCCCAAGACATTAGACAGGGTTAGAGAGTTGGATGGCTTATTTTCTCCATCCCGTTTGGTCCAAGGGTTGTATGTTGTTCAGTCAATCCCTCAAATGGCTGTTGTAGATAGAGAAACATGCCTTGGATTGGATCGCAGCCCATTACGTGAACATAAAAAAAAGAAAAGTTGCCGCAGTCTTTGTTGGTTAATAACAGTAATTGCATGTACAAAGACGGGCAAAGTTAGCTATCTTTGGCTCATATTTTAAATAGATTTCAAATTTCAAGAATAGAACTATGGCTTTGTAGATAAGGAAGCTCAGCATTAATATGAGTGATGCTTTGTTTTTCATCTTTTCATGTGTTGAACAAGTTTGGCTTGTTTTTGCTACATAGGCCTAACTAGGAGAAAGGGAGAACTATGTTCTGTATTGTACTAGAGGTGATGTGAGAATTTAATTCTATCTATAAAGGTAAACTATAATATTGTAAGAATGAACATTATGTAACATTTTGTATCCTATTATATCAAATGTATCATTTTCTATTATATTTAGGCACGGGGAGAGAAATTAACATTTCGGCAAATATGAAATGCAAAATATATCTGGTTTTGTTCTATGAAAAACTGGATGGGCTAGTGGCTGGGTTGGAAACCCAATCACATACCGTAACCTTAATTGCTCTACTCTGCCTAGACTTTTTCTTATGGGTACCAAGCCATCATAGTTTTTAAATACAACATAACTTGTTCTTATATAATGAATTCAGCCAATTGTGCCTTAACTAATACATTGTGATTAAAACTACACTAAACCAATACACTATAATTGATACATGAATGTTGCACTTCTAATATTTTATAGCATCATGAATATCCTCTGCAAGTCATCTCACCTTTTGATAATATAAGATGTTAGGATGGATTAATATATATTTATATATCCTTTATGTAATGGGAAAATGTCTTTGGAACATTATGTGAATGTCCTTATCTGATTGAAATTAAGTTATGAGTACTTGTTTAATGCAAAGTGTCATTTAAATTGAAATAATCCCCAGGAATCAAGGAGGAAAGCAGTTGTCTCTGATTGTCCCAGGTTAATCTTTTTCTTTGTTAGTCTTGCAAATTAGAATCAAACTTTCTTCCTTTGTTGGCTACAAAAGTCCAACATAATTCCTTTTATGCAGTCATCTCTGCAACCCTCTTCCCTGTTGACATTTTTCACAAATGAAAGGAGCCTACAGATAGTCCCTGACGTACGACCACAATTGGGACCAGAATTTCCAGTTGCCAAGCGACCAAATTTTGACCATGACCATGTGGATGCTATGACAGTTGTAAGTGCAAGGACTGGTTGTAACTCACATTTTTCAGTGCCATTATAACTTTAAATGGTGGCTAAATTAATGGTTGTAAGTCAAGGAGTACCTGTACTTATTTCTATTTAGTCATTTTAGAAAAGCAGTTTTATTTTTCTATTTAAATCTGCTAGTGTCTGGTTGGATTTTTTTTCTAAAGCTGCTCTATAGAGCCACCCCATCCAAGAATGGCAATCAAAGGGTTTTCTCAAAAATAGTCACTAGTAATTGTTCTGTAATTGAGATGAAGCCTGTATAAGTTCTCATAATATTCTCAAATTATTTTTTTCTTTTCTTCATTTTGATGTTGTAATATCCCCTCAGAATCTTCCAATTGTTTAATCCATCTCTTCTCTTTCTTCTTTCTAATTTTATATGTCAACCATCTCCCTGGTTTGTTTGCATGCTCAAAAAAGGTTTCCTTAGCTGCCTTTATTTTCATTGCCACTTCTTCATTTTCTAGTAAGTTCATTTTATGTTTGTTCAGTTCCATTACATTTTTAATCTTTTTGTTTTGTGTATCTTTCTGTAATTCTTTCTCAAGTGTCTTATATTCTTCCTCCAGTTTACCCTTGTTTTGTCTTTTCTGTTTGTTCTTTTTCCCCAAATAAGTCATAGCAAGTCCTCTCATGTACGCTTTCGCTGTATCCCAAACATTTTGAAGTGAAGTATCTTCTTTTTTGTTTTCCTTAAAGAAGAAAAGTATTTTTTTTATATATTGCTGAAAATCCTTTTCATTCAATATAGTTTGGTTTAATGTCCATCTTGTTCTCTTTTTTTGTCCTTTCCATATGATTGTAACTGGGTTGTGATCCGCCTATGTACCTGTTTCTATGGCTATATTTTGTATATTTGTAAATAAGTCTGTTGACATCCATGTCATATCAATTCTCGACCAGGATAGGTCTCTGTTAGAATAGAACGTATATTGCTTCTTTTCCGGATATTTTTCTCTCCAAGCATCAAGTATATTTAATTCATCCACCATATTATAGAAGGATTTAGGAAGTATTCTTCTTAGAGTCTTATTTTTTTTTTGTATTATAATCCAGCTCAGCCTTTACAATAGCATTAAAATCTCCAATCATACATATGCTTTCATATTCCAGTTCTATTATTTTCTTATGTAATTTTAGATAAAAATTCTCTTGATTTTCATTTGGAGCATAAATCGCTACCAATAATAATTTTTTACGGTTCATAATTACTTCCACCATTAAGATTCGTTCTTCTTCGTCTGAACATATCAATTTAGTTTGTATTGCTTTCTGAATATATAATGCCACACCTCTTTTACTCTGGTCTGCAAGGGAGGTGTATAATTCTCCCAATTTTGGATATTCTAATAAATTTTTATGTTGTTTCCTAATATGAACTTCTTGTAAACAAATTATGTCCATTTTTAGTTTCCCCAGTTTATTTAATGTTCTTTTCCTTTTTATGGTCTAGTTTAATCCATTTATATTTATCGAGATTGTTTTTATCTCTTGTTCCATGATTATTTATTTAAGGTTTTAGCTGATCTCGTCATTTTCATCTCTCTTTGTTCTTTTGCCTCTTTTACCCTTGCTCCTTCTACCAACGCCCTTTCCTCCTGTTCTTTGCTATACTCACCCCGTTGTTTCTCTATCTGAACTCCTTGATGTCTAGTTCCTCTTTCCCCTCTCAGCCTTTCTTCTTCTTGCTGTCCAAAGTAGTGATCATAAAAAAACTCTGCTTTCTCTAATGTATCTAGTCTGTGTCTCTGTTCTTGCCAGTTTACCATTACTCCTTCTGGTATTAACCATCTAAAATTTATCCCTTTTTCAATTAAGACTTTTGTCAAAAATTGATACTCCTTTATCAAGTCTCTCACTCTTCTTGGAATCTGCTTTAATATCACTATCTCTCTTCCTTTATATTTTATTGTGACATTTCTCAGTTTCTGTAATATATCTGCCCTTAATGCTTTTTTAGTAAACCTTATATGGACCTCTCTAGGAAGCTTATTTCTCGTTGCATATCTAGTATGTATTCTAAATATCTCCCGCCATCACGTCTGCTAAATTCTCTCCCTTTTCTTCTTCGACATTTTGGACTATTAAGTAATAATCAGCTCTATCCATCTCTAGAGAGATAATCGTTTTTTCCTGGTTCCTATCTGTTAATGTCAGTCGATTGTCCATCTCCTCTACTCTCTTATCCATTAATTCAATTTTCCCTTCCACTTGTTGCAGTCTTTGTTCACTTTTCCCCATCAATTCTTTGACCTCTTTTAATTCCTCTTCTAATTTACCTAACCCTTCCTTGAAGTCTGTATGTAATGCCTATATCATATTTTTCAGTTCCATATTAAATTTATCTTGTTGTATTGTAGAGTCCAGTGTTTTCTGCACCAGTGTTGCTGTAGTGTTGAGGGGGCTGTTGTTAGGTTTGTTGTGGTCTTCTTCATCTTATTTAATGATTTATAATCCAAATGTCAGTGTGCTATTATAATCCCAATATGTTCCAAGAAGAGGAGGAAAGAAACAAAAATAGGAGAAAAATCCCACCTCAAAAGTCCAAGGGGAGGAAAAAGTACAATTTACACTACTTTATTTCAGGCTCTTCGTGCCTTAATCCGAAAAAAAGAAGGAGACCGAAAATAAAACCTCCATAAGGCAGTCCACCGTTCTCCAAAACAAGAAACAGTTTCTGTGTTAAATGCAATTAATGTCTCACTTCTTATCAGTGAGCCCAGCAGATGTTGTTCAAGGTCACTTAGTTTTCTGCTTTAGAAGAAGGAAGCTGAAGAAAAAGAAGCAACTCACTTAAAGGAAAAGGCAAACAATCTAGACCTCCAACAGTTATTTACTCTCAAATCAGTTCTATTAGTCCAATTGTTTTCAGTAGACTTTTTAAATTCCACAGTCTTTACATTGATTTATTGATTTATTGCCTTCAGCTTTTTTCGCCGCTGAAATTCCAGAGGAGGAAACAGGAGCAGCTTAAGGGTCCGCTCCCCCCCTTTTCTCCACGGCTTCAAATTCTTCTTATTCCACCTCCCAGCATTTCCAGCATTTAAGAGAGAAAGTTTTCCTCCTTTTTACAATCTCTTGATCAGCTCACCCAGGCGATCCTCCAATTTTACTTTCTGATTCTTGGAAGCAAACACCGGCTTGTGACAGCTCGCAATGGCTGCCTGACAGCTGCTGGTCTGGGAAGCTTCTGTTCGGCTCTCTAGGAGATTGCGATCCCTCCTGTGCTGCCAAACTATCCTTCCCTTCTTCACTGTCCCTACAGGACAGCTCTGGTCTGTCTAGGACTAGGCAGACCTCCCCAAACAGCTGAAAAGCGACGATTCTTAGGGAGTCCCCAAGGAATACATCGTGCTGCCGAGACATTCATGTGTATGTATTTATTTCATTTTATTAAAAGTATCTTATATATAAGAATGTAAAAAGAATGTATGTTAACATCTGATAAATATCACGGTATATGTATGGGGGAGAGTTTGGAAAAATAAAAATAAAATTTTTAAAAAAAAGAGAGATGAAGCCTTAAA